CCACTTGCCACTCCTTAATCATCTGCTCGCGAAGTTTTGAAAGTAAACGCATTGTGCGCTTTGCGATCACTACAACACTTCCGACCCCTCTAACAATGTCTGTCTGTGCACATTTCCCTTACGAGCATGTAGTTACTCAATGCCTTTTCACCAAAAGGAGGAACCATCGTTATTATTTTTATCGAGAAACCTGAGACACAGATCAAGCACATTAAGAGTTTTTCCACAATTAGGCTTACCCGGACAAAAAGGGCTTACCCGAAAAAAAAGGAAAAAGAGAGCTAAATTCCGAACTGTCAATGGTAACGCTTACCATAGGCATGATCCGGAACACGAGAAATATCACTAGATCTAGATTCGTCACTTGGACCTGAAATTGAAAATGTGACAATCGTTCGCAAAAGGAAGCTCACGTTTCAATCAAAACTCAGCGCAGCGACAGACCCCCCCCCTGGTCAGCGGTCAGGTTAGCGTGTGGTCATCGACACGGTCAAGAGAGGCGAAAAATGAGTTGAGCACTAGAGGCCTGAAGTGGGGCATATGCTAAGCAAGTGTCCGGGCTCGGAAGAGAAAGGCTCTGATAGTAACCCCAGTCCTTCGTCAATGAGCCTCTTGCACCTTTTGAGATATAATAACGTACGAAGACATTTCCATCATCCACTGGATCGACTATATCTACCACATTCTGTAGGAAGGTACCAAGATCTTCTTTTATATTTATTTTGCTCCATGCATCTTCTAATATATAAGGAACTGAAAGTCATTCACTTGACGTCTCATCTTTGTTTTCACTACGAAGTAATAACGTACCATCAGAATTAGCACCAATATCTTTAGCAGTGTTGACGGCATTGTTTAGGAACGTGAAACCTTTCCGGGTTAACTGTGAAGCACCGTTAGATAATAATTTGCGTGGTGAAGACAATATCGTTGCAACAGAATCATCAGGTTCTGGAACACTAGCATCAATCTCTACTAAAAATGCTACGGAATCCAGTGCACTTGCGAAATCAAAGTGGTTACGTAGATCAAAACTAACTTAGGCGCTAATCCGATAAGGTGAAGCATATTCGCAAAGCACCCAAGGCTTTTAAAACCAAGGTAGCTGGCACGGGTTTTTCATTCATTACGAGGAAAGGTGAGAGAGGAGACGATGCGAAGAAGCGAGAAGATGAAGAGGTTCGCCTCACTCTAGAGGAAGCGGGCTCCGGGAGTAATTCTGACTCGAATCGAGGAGTAGTGTCCTATTCAGAGTGAAAACCGATATTTCCAACCAATCTTTTCCCAAGGAAACCGTGTCCTCGATTCTGATAGAAAACGTATGAACGAGACCCATGAAAAGTACTAAAATTTCGATCTCGTTGGTTTTTCTACGTCAAGTCACGAACTATAAACATCTAGACCCTTGACTAAACTTCAGGGCAAAAATAAACATCTGACGTCAAACGATCATACTTTTGGAGCTAGACTGATAGATGCAAGCAGTTAGATTGAAACTGGCTTGACTGGGCTCTCTGTGCAGGGGTGTATTATTCTCTCTCTATCGCTAGGAAGCGGATCGAATGCGATTCCGCTTTGTGCCCATTCTCTACAGAGTCTATCCTTTTTCGTGGTGCCCATGGTGCTAACTGTCTCAGGATTGTTTTCTACTATCGAGTCAGGTCCACATTATATTTGCCTTTAGCGCGCGTTCTCCTATGGGAGACGCGCAACAGAATTGTCCGAGACAGCGCCCGCGGCACGCGCCGCGTCGCGAGTGACGCAGCAGCTCACGGAACTGCATTTGCTTGCCGACAGCATGCTGGTGGATTGGAGCGACTGATCTACTATGCGTACGTCGCAACGATCTACCAGATTGCCACATCAATAATTGAAAATCTAACGTTTCTCTTGATAGTAACACACAATTGTCTGACGGATCCATAGACGCAACTTCAGGAAATAAACAAATACAAAAGAAAACAAATAAGGCAGTTATTCTCCCTACGTTTTTGTGATTCACATGATTCGCGCAGTCGTCAGCGTCAACATTTGATAGATGAGTGGTCAAGTTTTACTGTGAGCTGCTGTAAAAGATGACAACCAGAGCAAACTTTAAAGACCCTGATTTCATGCTCTAATGAACTTTTCCATTCTCTGTGGAAAAACAAAGAAAAAACCAAAAACTCAACCGTAACTGAACACAAGACTCGATCCTGGGTGATATCAATCTTTACCGTCCCTTCAATATCCCTATTCAAACAGCCAGACGCATGCTTTCCCTTCTCGCCGCAATGATTCGCAGACCACGCCCACCACCTGCACCGGACGATTCTGTTGCTACACAACCCTTCTCGTATCCCGGTTACGTGACATCTTGAACTTTTGGGCATGGTCCTGTTACGAAACCCTGTGACGCAGACAGATAGAGGATAGCAGCTGCCAAAACATCGAAATGTGCAAGAAACATTTGGCCAGCCAGGTTATGGGTTTTTTCCAAGGGAGGGGACGGGGTGGGTGAGCTATCATGTGCGAAAAACTGGATTGTATGAGGTCACAATGACCGTTGTACAGGGGGGGGGGGGCAAAAAAAAAGACTTTTTCTTCCTTGACTTTCGAGGCGCTATAAGTTACACTTTATTAAATTCTTATCGGACATTTTCACCACCATATTAAAGAGCATATCAAATACTATCATGACACTCCGCCACAGCCTTCTGGAGGAGCGCCATCGAGAGATTCTGCCACGCGACCGTGAGTGGGTGCCTGAGATTCAGCGAGATAGTCG